AAGTTTTTGGAAAAAAAATCTGATGCGTGCTTTAGGACGGCCTTTTTGTTGTTTTCGTACGAGTACTAGCTGTGCTACTATTGACAACTATCATGTTAATGCGTAGATGATAAGGTCCTGGGGGAAAGTACAGTAAGGTACGGCACTACTGATTGTAATTTTATATGGATATTCTTGTTAGGTGAAGCTTATTTACATACAATACTGACACTGGTATAATAAGTACGAACGTTGAGTACGAACACTAGCACAGCTTGTACGCTTACGAAGGCAAKAAAACAAAAAAGGTCATCTTAAAAAATTCATATTTTCTTCAGCTTTTATGCTCGATGATTTTGACCCCAACAATGTTTATGCAAATATCTTATAATGCAGACTCGGGCTTTTGATCAATTCACCGAGATTTACTGGCAAATTTGATATTCAGCGTGAACAAGTTTTTATCAGTAGCAATAAACAATTCCTTTAATTATTCAAAATCATCGATATTTTGTTTTATACCATACGCTGACATAACGAATGTTTATCATGGTGTGAATTAACTAAAAATGCATTGTTGACCAAATAGAAAAGCTATGAAGGTATCACTACCTGCTGTTACAAAGAAAAGCGCGACTAATGAAACCATGCTGATTTCCAATAATAATGCTGTCAGGATTATGCACAATTAATTCACATTAAAATGTTTGAAAAAGGTTTACGACACAACCCCCATCACCTTACAAACTTSAAGCTGCATTCCATTAAACAGTGATATTATGGAAAATGAGCATTTAGAAGGACAAAGTAACTTCTAATCACTATAGCAAAATTCTAAAATCGGTGAGTATTGAAAAATCAAAGTTTAAGAGTGGTTAATTTGAAACAATTTTATTTTATTTAACTTGTTACCCAGTTTACGGTATTGGTTATAACTGATAATGAGTGTTACTTTTGTTACAAAAAAGGGTTTCTAGATATCATTTAGGTATGGAATTGTCACTTCTTCTTTTAACAGAGAAAAAGCTAAAAGGAAATCTCGGATCCAATAATATCCATTGCATTTGTGACATTCCTAAGCACAAACGATGTGTTAAACGAAACAATATAAAATTTTCTTTTAATTATTCTATAGACGTACTCATAAGCGTGCTTCTCAACAAMAGTGTAAAAGCAAGTTGTCATGGTGCCGTCCTACAATGTAAAAGTCTGTCTATTCGATTGAGATTAATAAGATAATGGGGCAGTTTCATTTGTGGTTTTGTGCTGCCAYGGTGCTGGCTCTTTTTCCCAACAGTTTATCGGCAGGTTTGTACAATTATGTAATAAACGTATTGCAGATAATTTTTTTCCAGTTTTTAGATTTTRATACTAATCAGCATTTTTGCAGCATTTGAGTGGATTACAATTCCATCAGCTTTAACAAGAATAGAAGGACAAAGCATGACTTTAACTTGGACTGTCAATATTACATCTCATACTCCATTKASCGTGAARGTCTGGCAAAGAAAAAACGGTGCAGATTYTGATGTGTTGTTCTATTATAATGGAAGCGTTGAAGCTAGAGGAGCCTATGTGAACCGATCCGCAGACGTCAATCTAATAGTTCATCTTCATGAATCCATGCTAAACGTTACGTTGTATATGTTCAATCTTGTAAAAAGCGCTGATGAAAGTGAATACGATGCAACGATAACCCTGAAAAATGGAGATTTTCAGACAGCTCCAAAYACGACTTCATTAACAATTCTGGGTGAGTTGTTACAATAATTCTGAATGAAAATAACGGTTCGCGTTCAGTAAATGGGGCACTTGTTCGCTTTGATACTGGAAGATAGAATAATGGACATTTTCGTKTTCAGCACATAATAGTTATAATGGGAAGAACTGAACTCAGTTAACCGCTAATTAAGACTGAAATGGATCATAGAAAACGTGCATCCATCGAGTKAWAGATTCACGCGGGAGGTTGCCAAACACGAAAACTGTAATGAGTTGCATTGTGCAATCTAGTTCCAACTCAATCTCATTTCTAATAGATTAGAATTGGCTTAGTCTCTAATATGTGGCAAATAAGAAACTACAAAATTTCATTTGGATCAGTTTTTACGTATCGTAGATTTACCGTCTAGTAGTCACGATGGGATGACAGTGTTGTTTATGAGCAAAAGCACAAAGATTCYATTACGAATGAATTAGTAATCGCTCAATTGATGACCACAATTTACATTTGTTATGTTTTTAAAGTGCCTATGACGCCTGACACCTTCTCTGTGAGCTGATTCTTAGAATCATTATATAGTATATAAAGTAAATAATTGAATCGTGAAATATTTCTGCATTTCATTGTTGCGTGTTTGTGTTTTGAAAGTTCGTATATCTAATGAAGCCTTCTTTGACGTCATTTCATTAGCATATTGTAAGATTAATCCTTCAAAACTCAAAGGCGCAATACTGAAATGCAAGAATATTTCACCATTCAATTATTTAATTAATATAGAATCAGTTCATAGAGAATCAGCAATTATTGTGTCAGGCGTCATAGGCACTTAAATGACTAAAAGCTGTTGGAATGCCATTCCGTGAACTTTTCGAAAAAGCCGCTCTGGGCCGGTTGTATGAAGTTATCCACCTTTTAAAGTTATCCACACCTTTTTTTCTCTGGAATTTTATCCGCTGGATTRGGATTTATCATTGCAAGCTGCATCATACAAAGGTCACCTTAACGAATATATATATATATCTTTTCCAGTTCCTCCCAGTATCACAAACTCGCCATCGTACACTATCTCAACCATTGAAGGTCAAACCGTCCAGTTAATGTGCAATGCTACTGGTTTCCCGACACCAACAGTTAACTGGACAAGAAACGATGTTTCAATCGGCTCAGGAAATCCGATTCAAATCCAAGCCACATCCCAAGATCATAACCGCTGTTACACTTGTGTTGTGTTCAACGGCGTGTATGGTGCTAAGACGGCCAACGTTTGTCTCACTGTGCAGTGTAAGTATAGTACCTAAACCCCTGCTAAACCCTCTGCATATTATTGTCAAATTGTATATAGCACTCTTCCATCCTCCTTTTTAATGTTGCGTGAAACCGTGATCATGTATTTATGCCATCAAAGGGCAATATTGGGGCAATATGCATTTTATAGCGAAAACGTCGACTTACGCCATTTTCAAGTCAGTTTGTGTTGCAAGCACAGTGACGAGAATAAGTGAATTTGCATTAGAATGTTTATAGYAGAAGTCACATACTTATTTTTCTTCACCATACAGCTGAATTGATAAATAAGTTAAGGTCGAAACGTCGTCTAAACATGTTTTAGCTATTGTTTATTATAAAATGTTKATATAAAAACGTTATCATTAATATGCATCTTGTTGCAGTAATTGTTTTTCATGTATTCTTGCCACGGTCTCATTATTTTTGTCTACCTTTGTAGTTTCTTATCCATTTATAGTGATTTTAAATACATTTACTCAATTAATTAACCATCAATTTCCACAGATAAATTCAATTGGACATTAACACCATCGTCATCGTTAACTATTCTGTATGGACAAAACTTGACTCTCACTTGGAACGTCGACCTGTCTCCTTCCATTGCGTTTCAGTCAGCCACTGTATGGCAGACAAAGGGCAACAATAGAAATCCTGTCATCTCCTATTATGTCAACGGTAGTACGGTGATTTTTGACCAAGCTTTTAAAAACCGATCTGCAGACCTAGCATTAACAGCTATCCAATCAGGATCCATTGTCAGTATCAGATTTGAGTATGCYTACCTCATTAAGAGCACTGATGAAGGTGCGTATGGCGTATCCGTGACTGCAGCATCAGGAAACACTGATGTTTCTCCCAACAAGACAAATGTTACAATTAACGGTAAGGCTCTCAGTTATCGTTTTATGTTTAAGAAATGGTTCAGAAGTAGGTTTTGGAGTGCTTTTAAGCACTTAAAAGCAAATGTATCCAACAGGTTAGAAAACGAAGGAAAAATAATGGATTTTCCACCGAATTACTCCAATGTCGTCCATRTTTAATCAGAAATCAATCCCTTTCCTAGAGGAGTGGCATTCTTTGAAAGACCTGATCAAAAATCTATAAACTATCACATTAACATCATTGATATTTATTTACGTGCATGCCTGGGTGTTTTCGCTATTCTAAAGCTTAAATTTTTTTTTGTTCTATTGAACTGTAACTGAGGTTTTTGATTCTTTTTAGATAGAGAGATCTGGATGACATACCCACCAAGCTTGACAAGGATACAAGGACAAAGTATGACGTTAATATGGAAGGGTAACTTTCCATATCAAAMGTTTCTATTTGCTAAAGTCTGGATATCAAAGAATGGTGAAAAGGAGGATGTCGCTTTTTATAAAGCTGAAAATGGCACAGCTGAGGCTAGAGGGTCCTACATTAACCGATCAGCACACATTAGTCTAACCGTTTCTCAAATACGATCTGTTGTAATAGTGACATTTGTTTTGGAAAATCTTTTAAAGAACACAGACGAGGGTGCGTTTGATTTAACTCTAACGCTTAGTGGTAACACTATCATAGCTCCAAAARCACCACTTATGATCAATGGTAAGTCCAAATAGACAAATTATGTTTTACAAATTCATGGTTTTTCGTTAGTCATACGATTGGTGTATTTTGACATGGTATCAATGTTTCATTAAATTATTATTAAATGATTGTCATTAAAACCCAATAATAATAAAAAAAACGAGTTTGTAGGTGATTTTATTTATTTCAGTTTTCAGTATGCGATTCTGGTGGCTGATACTTCCACCGGCAGTTCAGTTTGGAAATGCAATCGTTTGAAATAAACAAGAATTGTTGTTATATTATTATTGCAGTAGAGAGTGAACTCATGCATTATGTTTGATTATAATGATTGTACATATTTTAGGATTTTCCAGTCATATTCCCTATTTTCTTGTGGAGGCTATGGAATATTGTCAAATACGTACATGCGCAACTACTGAAGAATGCTTTTTTTCCTTTTTACCCAGTACCACCAGACATAACAAGCTTCCACCCTTACACTATCTCCACCATTGAATCTCAGAACGTTGATYTGATGTGCAATGCTACTGGTTTCCCGACACCAACAGTTAACTGGACAAGAAATGGTGTACTTGTTGGAACAGGAAGCCCATTGAGCATCAGAGCCACACCCCAAGATCATAACAGATGTTATACTTGTGTTGTGTTTAATGGCGTGYATKATGCTAAGACAGCCAATGTTTGTCTCTCTGTGGAATGTACGTACGCTTGTTTCTTAGGCAAATAAAAGACAAAACCTAAACATATACCTAGTAACCAAAACGTATCAGTTAACTATCTTAGCGTTTACTTACTTATTTAATTGTATTTATTTGCTATAATCGCGCCTACCTCAGAATATGAATGACTGATTGTAATTTCTTTTTCTGTCATTTTATAGTCAGACCAATAGGCCCACACCAGTTTACGGTCGATCGGTCAACAGTATGCCAGAAAAACATGGTTAATATGACATGTCAATCAGGACCTGCAAATCCCCCATCATCTGTCTACACATTTTATTACAATGGTGTTTTTCTAAAAAACAGCTCTAGTAAAGTTTTARTSACTAACTTGACTCGTGTCGCTGCTCCTGAAGTGAACCAGTTTACTTGTGTCCCAGCTAATCGTCTTGGAGGTACTTCTCAAAATGTAACGGTTGACGTCATCGCCAAAGGTAAGAGCCAAGGGAAACGAAAGGTATTTGAGGGTTAAATTGATTTTGAACTTTTACTTCTGAATAAAATCTCAACTTAAAAGTTTTTGCACTTTGTACACACACACTGTTTGACCAAAACAAAAACATCATAACAAAATCAAAAACAACGTCTTCACTCCACATTACTACGAAGACTGCCCTCTACTGGCGTCAGATGTGCAGGAAGGGCGGATCCAGGACTGTATTCAAGGGTGGTGTGCACGCACATAAATGGTCGCATAGGAGACACGAAATMGGCTTGGTACCCCAGTCAGTTGGGTTTGGAGTTTGTGTAATTCTAACCTATTCAGAGTGCATTAGGTTATTATCCGTAGCACATTTTTACCATATTTTATTTGCGTTCTTTTAAGCAATTATATCTGCTCTATATTATGAAGGTATCTTAATAAAAGATTTCGAACAATTAACGTGCCTGAGTTGAAATCTGAATGAAAATATAAACATTATAAGGTCATTGATAATGACTGTGATTCTGATTATTATCGTAATTATTGTAACGAGTCTTTGCTGTATATAGTTCCGCCTGCTGTCACACAGACTACAAATGACTCTATTGTTGTCGAGGGATCAAATCTTACTCTGACGTGTAACGTGTCTGGGACACCACCACTGAATGTAACTTGGAAAAAAGATAGTAAACTAGACTTTCAAGGGAATGTGTATGTTTTGACCAACATCAAGCGTGGTGATGCTGGTGCCTACCACTGTTCTGTCACAAATGGTCCTGAATGTCCTTCGAATTCCGCCACTGTTAATGTGACTGTTAAATGTGAGTAATAATAACGTCTAATRATAGAGGCAACCTCTCAAAATTCCTTTTTTTACAAATACCAGCAAAACGTTTTTTTTAGATTCTCCAATTATTTTAAATGGAAATGCCACCTTTTCTGCAAAAATTGGCGAAAGAGCTCGGTTATTATGCGATGCGATTGGAGTGCCAACGCCAAGTATCAACTGGACAAGAAATGGTACAGTACTTTATACTGGGAATCCATATATTACTCCTCTTCTGACAAAAAGTGACGATCATACTTCCTACACGTGTGTGGCATTCAATGAAATTGGTGTTAACAGTTCAAACCTTTTCTTGTCGTTATACAGTAAGTATTTGTGGTTTTTCTAAGCTCATTCATTAAAAATATAAGATAGGRTGGACGTACCTTAATCTATAAAACAACTATTACAAATTACTACAAAATAGGGTTTATTAAACAATAGAAAAACAAAGGAATTAGCATGATGTAATACTATTTTGTAGTGTTTTAGTTTCACGAATTGAGTGCGTCGGCTCTGGTTAAATGAAATTAGTACAAATCACAGGTGATAATACAAAATCGTGTGCTGTGATTATTTTACTTGTACTTTTTTCAACTCTTACTTGAATGAAATAAACTCATTGCTCACGTAATAAGTGCCGCGTGCGCCTTAAATAAATTAGGAAACAAGGTTTCAGGAACTTTTTTCTTGATAAAGATTTTACATTTTGTCTCTTTCGCATTTGAAATGCTGWCACCTGTGTAWCTATACTAAAACAATTATTCGCCTCAGRCACAATGATTATTGGTGAATATTGGTAATTAATAGGTAAATGACATCCAATCCTGTTTAGAAGCTGTCAAGGTGAAAATTGACTGTCAAAAATATTCAAATTCGTCAAGCTACATGCAAATGAAGCTGTTATCTAAATGTCTTTTCAATAGACCTCTGAATCTTTTATTACGTAATGCATTGTGGGTTATGTTTGGGACAAAACATGGCGAATTTCTTTTGTTTTCCCTGGAAATCGTCGATACCACAATGAATTGAAAATCAAGTAGTGTCATAAAAGCTTCATAAGTGTATTGGATAATCTTTTTGGGATTGACTTTACTTACCGAAATCACATTCATTCCTAAAATAATGGGAAGCTTTTATATTCCTTCATTATATAGCTGGGTGATTTGAGAAAATGCGACTAGCCAATCAGCGCAAAGCTGACAAGCTTATGTTGTAAACATAGCCCCCCGACGGGAGGAATTTGCACAGCAAAAGTCGACCCAGTGGAGTAGGCTGCCTGCCATTTTATTCTATCCGAAAAATCAAAGCTAAAACGCAAAGAGAAATTGCAAATCTTTATAAAATAGCTTTTATTAAATGTCAATCAAATATTTATCGTTCTAGAAATAGAATTTTATCTTAAAAATGAAATAACAAATAATTTTTTCTTTAATACCAAGAGACTCCCCTCCCTGACAAAAATAATTGGTCTGTGTTCTACGCGGGTTCTCCATTGCATRCGAAGCAATGGCTGACTTCACGAAGACTTCAGAAGGTCGTTGAAGCGACGTTCAAGTCCAAAGTATCTTAGGAGGAACCATTTCAAATCATTTTTCTTAGCTCTTGTTTCCTCTAAGCTTTGAGGTATCCGACAACATCACTGAAAGAGCTAGAGCAGCTTAGYTCCACGTATTCCAATAGAGTTAAAGTGTTTGTTATTTTTGGTAGTGACAACTGTCGTAGTTCATCCTTTGTCGCATTTTTGGCAATAAGCCGCAAGCGTGCTCGACGATACAACAGGTTGACGTTATGTAACAGGTCGGTTATATTTACTAGCTTTGACCTTACAACGAGAGCTAGAACGGTGACTAGGGTTTTTCGTGTAATGTCTTGATAGCGACTGTTTATGTTGAAAACGATTCAAAACAAAATTCCATCGTGAAAAAAGTTCGACTAAATTCCCTTCTGAAAAACACGTGTGTATTTAAGGTGGAAAATGTTTGATATGAGCATTCAATTCTTAAAGGTTTAATTCTATAATCATTTTGTTTAGTTATGTAAATAAATTTAACACGACTTGCTGTTTATCTGAGTGAAAGGCGAGCTGCGGGTTTTCCCTTTCCTTTATTTACASTTTCAAATATGACCGCTTAACAAAAATGCACGGGCTCACTGGCTTACAACCTTGGCGAATTCATATGCAGGCCTGGTCSCAAAGCAATCACCCAGCTATAGTTCTAACAACGAATTGATTATTAATTGTTGTCGTTTGGATTTCAGCTGAGGTGAACATTACCACTCCATATCCCCAAATCATCACCGTCAATGAAAGCAACTCTGCAAAACTAATCTGTGGTGCTACTGGTAGACCCACCCCGACCATCAACTGGACAAGAGATGGTGTGATATTATACACAGGAAGCCCRTTCATTACTTCATTACTGAGTCATAACGACGATAATGCATGCTACACTTGTATTGCATACAATGGGATAGGAGATGCAAAAACCGCTAACTATTGTTTAAATGTACAATGTAAGTAGTAATTTCAAAAGTAGTATTAGAGAAAGGACTTAACGCTATTAAAATTTCGTTTACTTACAGACGCACCCAGAAATGCATCACTGATCATGGATCGAAAAACAGTTTGTCAAAATGATACTGTGAATATGACATGCCACTCAGGACCAGCAAACCCCGCCTCTTCCAAATACAATTTTTACCACAACAATGTACTTGTACAAAGCAGCCCTAGTAACATTTATGYTGCTAAGGCGAGTTACGGTTTACCTGAAACGAACATGTTCACTTGTTTATCTATTAATCTTCTTGGTAATGGTGTGCAGAATGCTTCAAGTACTGTATCTGCCAAAGGTAAGACTGGATTTAACTAAGATTTTGTTTTCAGATCTTTTTTCAAGGATAGGTTTACTAAATGTCGGTATACAAATATTCATAATCTACTTTAGTAAAAACTAACATCAAGCAGGATAATTGAAGAAACTAAAACAAAGAAAGACTCTAAAGAAGTTCTGTGCTGCCTGCCTGTAGTAAATTGTGGATTAGACGAAGATCTCATCGGGTGTAGAATTTATCAAACCAGATATGGGAAATCATAGCTGTGAAGTCATGTCAAATCTTTATTGCACTATTCAGTTTGATATGTCAATGTTCATGGTTTAGCTGATTTTTTAAATTTGCAAGTTCATTCTAATTTGCATCCGTTGTTAAGTTTTTCCTTGAAATTGCTTATTTTCACGTCATGTCAGGTGATGATATCATGATAGCATTATTTCGGAAATAGKCTATAGGTTAGTATGTATTACAATTACGGTCAATTAACACCTGACGAAATAGAAGAAAATGATGCAATGCGTTTCTCTTGATCAATTACTGTCAGTTAATGTATACCTGTTTCTGATATAAAATATGTCTATTTATTTATAGTTGCACCTCATTTCAGTCGGATGAATAACCCGGTTGTGGTCGAGGGATCACGACTTAATTTGACGTGTGATGTGTCTGGCACACCACCACCAGCTGTTACGTGGAAAAGAGATGGTAAAGAAGACGTTCAGGGAAAAGTGTACTCTTTGAATAACGTTACACGTCATGATAACGGCGCTTACCTCTGTGTAGTTGACAATGGTTCTGAATGTCCTTCAAAAAGTGCTACAATCAACGTTACTGTACTTTGTAAGTAAATGCCTGATTTAAATTATAGTAAAAACATTCATACAGAAAGAGAGGAAGACAATTAGAATGTAAAGGGATCGAAAAGTTACTATGTAAAAAGTGTATAAAAAGTGACCCTATAAAATCGTGTCAATTCTCTACAATTACATGACTATCATCTCAATAGACTTCTGAACCTTTTACGTCACTACTTGATTTTCAATGCATTGTGGGATCAGTTTCTAGAGAAAACAAAAGAAGTCCGCCATGTTCTGTCACAAACATATCCTACAATGCATTGTGTATACGGTACATGACGTAAAAACTTCAGAGTCTATTACCTGTACATTTTTTCACAGTGTCAGTATATCTATATTTTCAAGATTTTTTACAAAGTATAGGAAATCACATTTTTTTCCCGTTTAAATGTGCAAGAACGTAGTACTTCCTGTTGCAGGACCGGAAGGTTCTTCGTGCCGAGCGTACTTCTGTAATAATTTCTAAAATCTTTATAATGTACTAATACAGATGAACCCGAGTCGATCCAGTTCAGCATCGAGCCAAGTCTAAAWCGATTTTGCAAAGGAAACACCACAGTCATTTCGTGCAATGCTACTGCTAAGCCACCAGCAGAGTACTCTTTGTACCATAATGGTCGTCTAGTACAAAGCAGAAGCCCCACTGGAAGGTTTATTGTTTCAATGAATGAAAAGGGAGACAATTATTATACTTGCGTACCAAACAACACTGCTGGAATAGGGTCAAACAAAACCATACATGCGTTTGTTGTAGGTTAGTGCAATCAATCAAAAGGGTTTTACCGTATGTATAGTTTGAAACACGAAAGAGAGAGAGTTTTTTACCAGGTATAAAGATTCCAGCCGAATTTATATCTGACAAAGGTCACCCTTATCAGTATTCTTTATATAAAGAATACTAATAAGGAGTGTTTTATCASATATAAAGGTCCATGCATGTGACCAAATAGGCTCATTCTATTGGCCTACTAACTCATTAATTATGTATGAATTTCTTAATTTATGTTTTTAATTTGTATTGCAATATTGCAATGTCTGATATAAGTATCCACCAAACTATTGGCTATACTCAGTACAAATGCTTATGTTAAGCATTTGGTAAAACTGACTGATATGTAAGACGTACTTCACATTTTATCTGACGGTTTTACGAAGGATTGATAAAACTATCCACTGGTTAAAGTTACCCACTCCTTAGATTTTGTTGTAGAATTTGATCCTGTGGATAACACTATTCACCCGTCGTACTATCGGCTCCAGTTTTTTTTATTTTAAGGAAATATTGTTTAAATCTTTAGATCCTCCAGCTATAGTTAYGTCRCCTCAGAGTTCGACGATTGAGGAAGGGCAGCGATTGACGCTGTTCTGTAATGCCTCCGGACTTCCACAGCCAAACATCACATGGCATAAGGGTGATGGAGGCATAATCATTCAGTATGGTAATACACTTAGTATCAATAACTTGAGGAGAGAAAACGAAGGATCTTATCGATGTGTAGCGAAAAATGGAGAARAATGTAACACTGCTAGTGCAGTTGCAGTCGTAACCGTTAATTGTAAGTTTAAGTGTTTTGTCCCCATAGACTATTTTGCTATTGTCAAACAGCACACCCAAGTACAGTGTTCGTAAGAGCTAGCGTACCTTAGGTGCTATGTTACCTATAAGGAGAGCATTTACCTCTTTTACATGTTTAACTTTTGGGCTATTTTTCTTACGTTCATACATTTTGAACCAGCATTATTAGTGATTGGGGTAAAAGTGATAAATTTAAACTCACTGAGCACTACCCACTTATTCGTTGTCAGCCAAAATTGAGTTGTGTTTATCTTTTGACCAATAATGAATTTCCTTAACTATATGACAAAGAGAAAGTCAATTTAGCTATCATTATAAGATCGGTCCACACGAGCTCAGATATTTTTCATTTGCGGATGTCTTCGTGTCTGCGTTGATTCTCTGGAGACTTCTGTATAACCTTGATACCCTCTCCAGAGTGGAAATGTCTGTATATACGATGTGTCTTCGAGATTCTTCGGAAGTGTGTTGAATATGTACAGACTCTAATCGTATACGATTCATTCACGCTACTTTTCGAAGCAGATAGTTCTCCGTCAGAAAAAAATTAAAAAAACTCTGATTCCTAGGCCTTAGAGTTTAACTGTTTCAAATTTATTATTGCTTCATGTTGTACCCAGAAAATTGTGCTTATGTGTCTTTACGTATTTTCAATGCTTTTGATATTTTGTTGTTATGTAATCAGATCCTCCTGTTATAACCACTCCAAATCCTAAACTAACGGTCAATGAAAGCAACCCTGTACAGATGTTCTGTAATGCTACTGGCAAACCATCACCAAGTATCGTTTGGTTAAGAGATGGTATCGCAATCCCTTCAAATGGCGGCCTATTAACGACTCCGCCTTTGAACCATAGCGACAATGACGCCTGCTACACGTGTGTTGCACAAAACGGGATCGGGGTTGGCAGTTCAAAGAAGTTCTGTCTAAATGTACTGTGTAAGTTAATGACATATGAAATATGCATTTTCTGAAAGCTAAATAGGTGCAGCCATGCAACTGTGYGWATTTGTTTAGATAGATACGAATGGATTTTTTTCGCTCAAACTTTGCACACTTGTTAACAAATGGTGTCARTTGCAATGATCTCCGTTTATATAGCTTTCAGGATATATACCTTTATAGTGATAATCTAAAAAGTTAGCATTATCAATTACTAGGCACATGTCGCGAAGGTTCCCGATTTCCTAAGTGTCTCTTAAAATGGAAACTGCTTCAAATATTTTTGCTCTTTCTGTTTTTCAGACAAGCCAAGAAATACWGCTCTTCTTATTCATCGTTCAAAGGTGTGTCAGAATGAAACAGTCAATATGACTTGTCAATCATACAGCGCAAATCCGCCATCTTTAAGCTATAGGTTCTTCTACAACAATGTACCCATGCAAGACAGCTCGAGTAATGTTTTCATCACGAATGCARCWCTTGTCTCACCTGACGTRAATAGATTTACTTGTATTCCAAGAAATCTTCTTGGTGATGCTGTTAAAAATGCATCARCTGACGTAATTGCTAAAGGTATTGCTATAATTTTTTAAAATGAAGCGTTAAATGAATAGAATGTACATTTCATTAAATCGATCTCTATTTTAGCTCCTCCAAAAATTACTGAGATCACAAATAATCTAGTGGTTGTCGAAGGTGCGCACGTAAATTTGTCTTGTGCAGTGTCCGGAACGACCCCAATAACAACAACATGGACAAGAATTGGAAAACCAGACTTTCAAGGAAATGYGTATTCTCTATTCAATATAAACCGAAGTGAGAATGGCGCCTACCTATGCACAGTCACTAATGGTGCAGAGTGTCCTTCAGCAAGTGCTACTGTCAACGTCACTGTGAACTGTAAGTAAACTTCACAKATTTTGAGAGCATCATTATCAAAAAGGAGATACATATTTATATTCTTCGTTTGTAAAACATTTTCAGACAAACCGGAATCAACACAATTTAACATTTCACCAAATCGAAGACTATTCTGTAAAGAAAGCAATGTAACCTTCAGATGTAGTGCAAGCGCMAAACCAGGAGCAGTCGAATACTCGTTGTACCGCAATRAATACTTGGAGCAAAGAAGGAGTGAAACTGGAATATTCATTATTCAGCTTAATGAAAGTGGAGAAAACATGTTTRCTTGTGTACCGAACAACACTGTTGGCGAAGGACGAAACCGGACAATTCAATTATCAGTCGCTGGTATCAATAATTTTGTATTATGATTTATATATTATGATTTCTTTACTTTGTTTCTTCTTACGTATTTGACGGCCTTCACTCAGACAGTTAAAAAAGAACAATGAAATTTCAAAAAGTAAATTATAGTTATATGAGTCTTACCTACCAAACATGAAACATATTTGCTATGACATGATAAATGTTTTCGAAARCTATTATAAGATGTATTCTGAAAGAAAGTCTTTCGACTTTTAGATGATTTTTCGATAGTGGTGTCACCTCTAAATGTGAGTGTTGTGGAAGGAAAAAATCTGACGCTACATTGTAACGTGTCTGGACATCCAGCACCAAACATCACGTGGACCAAACTAAATGGAACCATAGTAGGTTATGGCGATACACTGGATTTAAACGGTGTCAACAGAGATCACGAAGGTTTCTATCGATGTGCAGTTATTAATGGAGTAGAGTGTAGCAATGAGACTGCAGTTGCATCAGTCACGATTAACTGTAAGTATGCWCTTTTTATTTTCATTAAAAACTCCAAAATCTGTTATTAATTAAACACTTGCACAAATAAACCAGGAAAAAAGTTATGAACACAACTGTGAACAAAGCATTTTTAAAACAAAATACAACATTGACATGTGCATCCAATGCAAAGCCTGCTCCAAGTAAAGTCAACGTTCACCAATTTAAACAGAAAGGTATAGAAACTCGTTTTCGTTTGATGGTACACAATGTCGTTTGAAATGAAACCAGTTCAATGTTTGTTGTTGATGTCCTTTGTAAGTAGAATAAATTTGGGTTGATCCAATTAGCTACCAATATAGAATATCTAATAATGAATCGAGAGTAGTAATATCTCAATTGCTCAAGAAAATAAGATTCGGGGTCAGTTTCAGATATCGCACGAGGGAGTTCTTTAGTTCGCACTTTTAATCACCATAAGTTGCCATAGAATTAWAAAAAMTTGTTTTAACGATGCACTTCATCGTAAACYTAATTCCAAAATGATAGAAATTGTGATATTATTCGAGCGGAAAAGGTACATGTTAATAGTTTAACATACAATATTCAAACAATTACAGATATGGCAACAATTACTGAACCTCCCCCAAGGAATGTGACGCTATATCATAACAATCAACTGAAATTAACRTGCAAAGTTGATGGAAATCCATTTCCGAATATTACCTGGATAAGAAATGATAGCATCATTGGGAGAGGATCCAAGTTACAACTGAAACCTGCTGATAGCTTGTCAGGAAAATATACGTGCTCAGTTAGCAATGGCATTGGCTCAGTCAAAACAGCAACTTCGTATGTTATGGTAGCTGGTATGTGCTTTAGATGATACATTGTCAGTAATTTTGATACGGCTTTTATATACCTTTAGTTAACAGCATTACCACCATCCTTTTCGGTTCTTTAAGAGCATACACTATGGAGTAACAACAACAAAAACAACACTATGGAGTATGTGCCACCACCAATATTCTCAATATTTTTGAAAAAGTTTTAAGCTATAGTCTTCCACATAACAATTTCCTGCGTCATCTTGAAAATGCGATATGACTAGTGCAATGCATCAATACCTTTTTTCGCGCCTGTATAATCATTCACAGTTATCCGTCATTGCCAGCAGTTTGTCTTGCAAAGGAACGACTGCCAAAATGGCCGGCTAGAATATACGTAGGCATGTGCTGTTTTTCTGTCGTACCAAAATAATTTTATACTCTGTRTATATATTTTAGCATGTCAAAGCCACAAATGTCAAAATGGAACATGTGTTACTTTGGGTACCACGTATAGMTGTCAATGTGAGGCTGAATTTAATGGTCAATACTGTGAAACGCATGGTAAGATCAGCAAGATTTCATTTATAGACAAAAAAYAAGAACTTAAATTGCGGATAAGAGTATTGACATGGATTATTTTTATGGAATTTTAATAATGCATGCCTTAGGCATCAGCTAGACTAACTTTTCTGATTTTCTATATACATGCTATTACTTTGGTATTTTTAATAGAACTATAATTGTTGACGTGCACTGTTTTTTTATGTAACTCCAAAAGAGAAGTAAAAAGTTGTACCAGATAACTCCTCTTCTAGAAAGATTTAATTCCATCAATTTTAATTGCACCTAGGGGAGTAATTTTGGTTCCTCGCAAGAGCAATTTTGAACCCCTTTCCGAGTTGAGTCTATAGTAAAAGCCACTCGAATTGTAGAGCTGATTTAAATCTCTTTAACGTTATTGCAAAAGGAAGAGAAACGTAAACTCCATTGCTCAAGTCCTCAAGTCCTTCAAAATAACAGTGCGTCATTTTCAAATGGTTTCATCTAGTGCAACGTTATTCAGAATGCGCTGTTCAATGTACAGTAATTTTAAATGCTCTTTGAAATCCTCACACGTATATATGCTTTTTTTTAACCAGTTTGTAAGAATCATCTTTGTAAATACAATACTGAGTGCGTCAGTACACCAAGCAGCTATCGTTGTTTATGCTTAAGAGGTCTGAAGGGAATTTACTGTGATACTGAAGGTAATACTCCGAGTTTATGCTAACTTGACCAGTGGATGATGATCGCGCTTATGTATATTTGTAGTATTATGTAGTTTTATTTGAATGTGAAGCTTGCCAATGAATTTGTTTAGTTAATGCTATTCCACAACTGTTATTTGCAGATCCATTGCATAATTCGTTCCTGGTAACAGTCACTATAGAAAGTCCTGAATGGGTGCCTGARTATGAAGACAGTAAAAGCAAAGAATTTGAGAGTCTGGAAAACAACATTTGTTCAAATGTAATTAAGCAAACTCTACGCCACAAACATCCCACCAAAATTCATTTATATTATCTAGCAAGCCAATAGTACATTTATTCATATAAACAACCGATTTGTAAAGAAAACATCAGTCAGTCGGACTATCAAATCATATGATCAAAAAGTCGTYCAGCCAATCCCTCCTCCCTTCTAAKTAATTATCCCTTTATTTYTATATCATGTTTATCATAGTGCCATGCGGTCCTCATATTCATATCAATTAATTAGCCAGTCAAATGGGAGTCTGATTTTTCATCGGACCCCACTAATCATCAAACTGTTTTTAAGTTCATCTTTTCTCAAACGTTTTTTAATATATATATTTTTATATCTACAGATGTTTTCCATCTTCAAGAATGATCTTATTAAGTGCAAAGCTATTTCACTTAGGTAAAAAAGCAATGACACACCTTTCACTCTGCCATTTTTTRAYCTAATACAAATTTGTTTCAGAAAAGGAAGCATCGTCTCACAAACCGAGCTGACATTCAATGCAACCAAGACAGAAAGTGAAGTATTGAAATCGCTGAATAGCAAAACAACTGATAACAAATTGGGTGACATTGAGCTTAAACCATCCTCGTTGCAAGTCAAGGTTTACAGTAAGTTTTAAAATTTATGTTTGCAGATTYGCTTTTATGTTAATTAATGCGATTTTTGATGAATGTCAAGTTATGATACCTTCATATTGGCTATGGCCAGAAGTACATAACCAGAATGGTTATGTACTTCTGCTATGGCGATTTCTTGGGTTTGAAATGACGTCACGTCGGTCATATTATTGTGCACAAGACAAGACTTGYTTGTTGTTGAGTTTGTTTGTTGTTTTTTGTTTGGGTTTGTTTCTCTCCACTAGTAGCCTCGCCTCGCGTTATAAATATAATTAAAACACAGCACAGWTGTAAAGACGTAAAGACAACAGTAATTTACATAAAATGTTTTTTTTTACAATCCCGCGAAGGATTTTGATTTAAAACTCCAGATRATGCTTGCAAGTTAAATAACATTGACAGTGTCAAAAAATTTCGAAACTTGAGGTTGAATGTTCTTACAAAAAATCCAAATGTATATGCAAATGATTTTTTTGTTGTCTTTGTGTAACTACAACTGGACAATATTAATGGRATTGAATGTATATAATGGGAGTTTTACGTGTGTGTATAGGTCTACCTGTGAAAAAGSAAGGAACATATATTTTGTGAACAAAAATAGTTAGGTTATTTTATTTCTTTAAGGTAATCCATGCACTAAAGAACCATGCAAGTTTGATGGAGAATGCCAAGCACAGAGTAATGGTTTCACGTGCGTGTGTAAATCATTTCGATATGGAGAAACATGTGAAAAGGGTATATATTCTTTGCACTCTTTGCCTTAATGTTGGCTTTATTTTGGATTATTTTCAAAGAGAAAACAGTTGCAGTTGTGTAGTTGCTTTTAACGCTGTAAGGCATGTATTGTGYTGCGTTACTTTGCGTKACAAAAATGAAGAATCCATTGCGAGCACCAGAAAAARTAGCTTGCAGCSGAAACCTTTGAAGTAATTCCAATCTTCGAATTGATTTTCTTCACAGGAATAGGCATTGTTCCAGGAAYAATYGCCATTTTTGCTGCTGTCCTTGTTTTGCTGTTTGCCATCTTTTTGTTGSTCATCTATTTCTGTAGTAAAAGGAGAGAGACCGATTCTAAAGGTTTGTTGTTATATATCCTGTTTTTTTTTTACGTGTGTAGTAAGGTGGAGATGGAGAAGAAAAACGTTTGTTCCATTGTATGCAAGGGTGACGTGTGCACCGCTCCCCCTTTCCCTTTGGTTGATATATCCCGCACTTAAATTATTTTGTAATGATGTTTTTTTTAAAAAAAAAAGTTCACTGATATGATTTTTGCTTTAATCGCAGATGGWCCAGATTATGATCTTACAATGTGAGTTAAACCCATGATTTAACAGTGTACGATCAGTCRGATATTGTATTCTTGTCTATAAGGCATTTTTGGTTGACATGCTTGCAAAGAGGTTTAAGCACAGATAGGTGACGACTCTATTGCCTTAAGTAAACCCGCACGAAATAATGAATTACTCTAATATTTTTATGTATTTTAGGACTCCCATTAGATACAACACCTCATRTGACATGSACAAAATGTCAAGGCAAAATCACATTTACTACGGCGATGAACTTGAAGAGCCTGCTGYCTTTGAGGTAAGACGACACTAAGCATGGCGGTTTTTT